AGGTGAGCACAGTAGGATTGCGTGTTAAATTTCACATACATTTCCCTCATTAGGATTAAAAATTCTGTATCAGTTATTGTTTGTCCAGAAGTTCTCTGAACTAAATCTCCACTTATCCCTTCCTGCATTTAGTCCTGTGTTGATAATGCTAGCGAGAATCAGCTTGGATCAGGCCTGGATAGATATCTGATGGAAGCAGACCTGTTTGTAGTTCTGCACAAAAGGTATGAGTACACTAGATGATCTTCATCAACGTCTGTTTGCAGATGGGAGGAGGAAGCTGGTGATTTTTAGGGTGCTTTTAACAATGAAATTTATCATCTGCTCTGAAGCAGATAGTAAACTGACTTCCTTGACTTTAAGCAAAGTTCAGTAACTCTGTTTTTCACTTTTGTTGTTGCACTATTGTAGTTCTGAATTAAAAAACCCAAACCAAACAAATAAAAAAACCTCAAAAAGCCACACCAAGAAAAAATCCTCAACAAAGCAAACACAATGTAGAACCTGCTAGTATCTGACCCTTCTCCATGCTGATGTTTAATTTTTAGGCAGCTGCTGAATTGTGTAACTGAATAATTAGGGATGTTTCAGCCTTTTTGATGGCTGTTCATGGAGGGAATTTCTATGGCATGTATCACAAAGAAGAGAAAAACGTCTTGTAGCTGATTCTTTATTTCTAAGTCAATAAAATGTTACAGTATTCAACCTTAAATAGGTTTTCATACTATGAAGTGCATTACTGAGTTTAAATGTATTTTGATGTTTGTTTCCTACAGTATATTGATAAACTAAGTAGTATAATTGTGGTGCCAAAAACTGTGGAGTTACAAACTGGTGTTGTGTATCCTTACCCTGTTTATAAAAATAAAGTTTCTGTCTGTAGATTCCAGCAATGGAGCTTGAAAATTATAAAAATGCCACAATATAAAAATCTTTGCTATCTCCTTCAGTGACATTCATGATACTGGGCAAATAATAACAGTAGAAGTTATACTTCTGATTTTCTGCTTTTTATTATGAGTAATTAATTTCAGCTAAGCAATAGAGGTAAGTTATTCAGGAGCTAAAACCCAAAAAACGTAGTACCTCTACTAAATTACTGTTGATCACTTAATGTGTTTGTGGGCTGTGCAGAATACAAATGTATTACCCTGACTGACAGGAAGAATGAGCTGCAAGGATTTTCTGATTAGGAATTTCCAAGTGTGGTGTATGAGCGTCTCATTTTTCTTTTGGCGTTTCCTAATTCATCATCATCACCATAATTACATTTTCACGCCAATAAAACTGTCAGTAAAAGAACCTTCATGGAAAAAGTCCCCTGTTTTTAGCCTGGGCTTAATTTAAAATACTAGGCCCTTTAAGAATAATAAAAAGAACATTGTGCTGACTTGTGCAGTTCTGCTCTCATTTAAGACTTGGTCCTCAGTCTGGTATTCAGCTTAACTGTAACTGCTGTGATTGGGCAGGTGGGTGCTACCAGGCAACAGGTATGGTAGAAACTGTGATGGATTATCTAATGTCCAACTCAGAAGTTGCCCTAAAAGCTGCCTTGGATGATCTTCCCCCCACCTTTTGTCACGCGTAAATTATAATCTGCCTTGCATTCTGGTTTCACTGCTGAGTGTAGGATTCACCTTGGACCAATGTGTGAAAGATCATTCAAAGTAGAATTGGGCTCATTGTTCAGAGGTGGAAGGGCCAGTTCAGCACAAATTTGGAATGGGCTATTTTATTATAGGCAGGTGAAGACAAACACAGATTAAGTTACCATGATCCCTCAGGCCCGAGTTCTGGCATCTTGCAGCTTAGAGATTTTTTTTTTATTTTATTTTTAAATATGATTGAATGGTTAAAACTGAAGACTGAGTCATAGAATCTAATGCCTTGGATGTATATTTGATGTGTTACTCATGTAAGATTTGTCAATCTGTCTTAGAAGTGTAAGGTAGTGTGGAAGGTGGTGTTGAAGGTGGGAGAGAGAAAAGAATTAGCCCCAGTTCTTTCATAGTATGTCAGAACCTGCCCCCTCTGTTTAATAATTTCATCCTTATATTTCTTGCAGTTGTTACTGCCAGTTTAGCCCATGTAATTGGGTGGATGGTAGCTTGTATTTGGTTTTTCTTTTAAGCAACAGTTGCCTAACACTGGCTCTATGAGCACTGTCATCAGCCCTACTGTGAGAGCTAAACTAATACCAATAGCTGTGGGAAACTTCTGAAAAAATTACAAGTGGAGTGGAGGCAAAAAAATACTACAAGTAATAGTTTGGGAAAACACAGGGACTGGAAAAATCTAGGGTGAGATGAAAAGAGGCATGAAAAAGCCCAAGCCTCTTAAGTTTCCCACTTACATTGGCACCCATGCAACAGTGACTCAAATAGTTTTGTTTTAAAAGAGTAAAATTGTTTTAGGATAGAAAGGATCTATTTGACAAGAAATGGAAGCAAAAATGAGGAAGAAGTTCCTGTCAGATAAGTGTTTTGTTTTTATTCCTGGAGATTTGGGACTATCTTTATAATTCTGCAGTGATTGCTTTGCAAGCTTCTTGGAAGGAAACAAAGTAGTTGAAAGCTGAATCATAGACTGTTTTGAAAGAGGGAGGGAGCTTAATTTTTATGCAGAGAAATATGGAAGCCAAAATGATTTAGTTAGAGAGGGAAGATGGAACTGAAACCAGCATTTTAGGCTGTTTAACGAAATGCAGCATTGAGAGCTGGAGGGAGAGGTACACATTAGCAAGCGCATGACATAACTACCAAGTTTGACTAAACATTTGGAATAAATAGTTTCTATGTGTTTTCTTGTATTACAAAACTGCATTTAATTTTTTTTTCAGCTAAAGCAACTCATGTGACATAGCAAGATTTAAAAACCTTCCGTTTAAGCATTTCATAAATATACATGTTCCTGAATTAGGTATTTCCAATGAATGTACGAAGTATAAATGTGGATTTAGGACCCTAACTAAGACTTGAGTATCTCCTTTTGTGAATTTCATTGTCTGCCATAGAAGAATGATTCATGAATTCCCTCTTTTTTCTCATTGTCCTTTGTGAATTACAAAGTCACTTCTTTGCTGTGGTTCTTAACTGCTGTGTAGTTCATGAAAATAATTGGTGAAGGCAAACATTTTTCCTAGAACTGTGGAGCTGAGTAGGACTCTGTAACTGAGCTTTCCTTACCTGTGGAAGATAGGTCAGTGTTTTTTATCAAATAGTAGGTACACATTTTGACACCAGATAAACAGAAGTTCCTAGTCTTCTGTTACAGCTGTGTGTTTTCAATAGCTACTGCAGAGTGAGCTGTTAAGAGTAGCTGAAGATAAGATCAAAAGTCATCAGTTCAAAGTTCAGAAGAAATCATTAATTTCAAGGACAGAAACAGCTGAGTTTGTTAGCCACAGCTTTACACCAGAAGCACTTTACTTGTACTGACAATCTTGCATCATAAGTGAGGTAGATAAGGCCAATTACCGAGAACCACATTTCCTCTCTGAGTCTATATAGTAGTTTGGCATGACTGCCACTGAAAATATAAAGCTATTGTAGCATACATCTTAATTAAACCAAATGGCCAGGTCTTTTCCTGTGATTTTTGTGTTAGGCAGATAATGAAATGAGTTTTGTAAACGTCTAAGTGTTTGAATTATAGAAACTATTCAGTAATGAATTAATTTTTCATTAAAATTATGGAAAAGAGTTTTTGCATCATTTTGCATGGATTCTACTTTCCTCTGGAATATGAGAAGAATTTTTGAATGAGGGTTTGAATGAGTTCAGCCAGTTTTCAAGGCCAGTCAAACTTCTTAAGAAGTTATAGATACAATCTCATGAAGTTCTCTCTGCCTTTTCCCTGTGTTTCAAACACAGGCTGAAGCTTCTGTCGCCTCTACTATGTTAAAAGCGTGCATAATCTCCCATTTCAATTTTTTCCTCTTTTCTGAGTATGTATTTCTGCATATGCTTATAGAAAAACAAATGAAGAACTTTTACTCCCTGTGACTTTGGAAAATGTGGTTGAATGGAACCTGGGTTTAGAAAAAAATAATAGCTTATTGTTTGTGTCAGTAGACCTAGCTCTGAATAGTGTGTTGCTGTTATGTGTAAGTCTGAAGTGATGATACTGAATGCATTTGAGGTATTACAGACAGAGGTTCAAAATTTTTTCTTTTTTTACAGTAGTCTGTCAGAGTTGTATGGCTTTTTTTTCACTTACAAGTGTAAATTTATAATTAGAGGAAAATATGGAAAGAATCATATAGAAAATGGAACAATATATATATAATCTTAAGTAGGACAAACATTTTTTTTATATAGCATGAATGTTTTTTCCTAGTTGAAAAATGTGTGTGCATATGGTTCTCGACAGAAGAAATTTCTGTTATGTAGGTAAAATGTTTCCTTTTCAATTTCATGTAAATTCCTAGTGCTAGCAGACAAGTTACTTCATTATTTATGTCATTTTTAGTGTTGTTTTAGATATTTTAGCATATGTTTCTAAATGTTACTTGGAAAGCAAGTTTTAAAACTTCATCTGATGAATTATGAATGCAAAAGGAAGTAATAATCTTCCCAAATTTTCTAAGCAATTCTCATATAAAACTAGTTGCAGTTAAGAGAGGAGAAGGTGAGCTTGGCTTTTCACAGCAACTTCATATGAGTTTGTTTAAACAAGCAGTGCTGTCATTTCTACTAAGAATTTCTGAAAGAATATAATAATCTCTTGAGATTGATGAATAGCAATAGATTAAATAATGAGTCTTGTGCTCGATGGGGTACCGTTTAAATAGGTAAAATCTAATGGGAAGTAGCTACATTAGTAGCAGATGGATTTACTTCCTGAATCTTGATCTGAGTGGAAATCCTCGCTTACTTAAAATTTGTCTTCCAGATTCTTAGCCTGATAAGAAAGGTGGATAAAGCAGGGGTTTTTTTCTTGGCTTCAATGCTGTGATGATGTGTTCTGTTTAAACTTGCTATTGTGTGATTTTTATCTAGGCTATTTTTATGATTCCTACAAATCCCCCTCCAACCTTCCGGAAGCCAGAACTCTGGTCTGATGAATTCACTGATTTTGTGAAGAAATGCTTAGTGAAAAATCCTGAACAAAGGGCTACAGCAACCCAGCTGCTACAGGTCAGTATTTAAGTTACTGAGGTAAAGCAGATTTTATGGCTTTTTTTTCCCTCAAAGCAGAACTGTTCTGAAAATTTCTAAGGGCAAATTTTATTTTAACTATTATCATACCTTATTTCATTTACACTTTGTGGTCTTTTCACTGTCAGCTCCTGTATCTCTACCCCCATGTTATTTCTTCTTTGCTGCTTCTAAAAATTCATCGCTCTTCATACAGTTTAGGGCTGATCCTTGCTATTAAAATTGGACCCTTGCTTTGTGGTTAGAGGCCCTCAATAGATCTCAGAATTTAGACAAGTGTTAAGTAAAAGAATTGAGCCCAAGTTACCCTCTGTGTGGACCACCCATGGAGTATATTTAATCTTTCTTTCTGGTCATGTCAAATCAAGCAGACAGGTTGCTCTGTGTCCTAGAAGGGTCTGATGCAAATGGACAGTATAATGAGTTTGGTTTTGAGCTGAGTTATACCAGGTGGGCACTTTTAAATGTGAGACACAGTTGGCAGTGTGGACCTTTGGAACCAAGGCACAGTATGCCAGGCTTTGTCTTGCTGTAAGGCTCTCATGCTAGATTTATTCTGTGTTGACCTAGCAATAGCAGCTTTTAAAATTTAAATTCCAGTGAACTCCACTAACAAAGATGAACATAAAAATTTTGCAAAGTATTTTTTTGTAATAAACCGTCAAATTCATAAGTCATGTTATGAATATTTAATTTTATACACTGCAAAACACCAAAAGGTAGACTACAGGTGAGGAAAAATGATAGGTTTCTGTGTGATGTATGAATCAGTACTTGAGACCTTCAAGATTTGAAGTTCATATAGTTAGCTTAATACCAGCAACTGGATAGAAGAGATTTGCATTAATGTGTGCAAGTAAGGAGGAACAAACGAAAAAAAACTTCAGTGTGCAGTTTCTTTCCACATACTTACTGACTAGAAAACCGAATGTTATGTTCATCACAAGTACATGTTGCCTTTTTCCACAGCTGGAATTTGGAGCATGTGTGATGGAGCTGGAGGTGCTGTATGTGTGAGTGGGAATGGAAGTACTGTTCGTGGGGAAAGGTCATGGAAGAAAAGGAGAATAATTGAATTAATAAATCAAGGGAGATGATAGATAATAGGTACAGGATACAAGGCTTCATCAATTCTGTTCTTCATGGAACAATTTTTTGATACTTAATGATATATTTCTGAGGTGCTTAGTTATGTTTTGCCTAAATTGTATTTGCATATAATGATATAAAATCAGATTTTTTTCTAACAGCAGGTGTTTATTAGACAGCAAAATGAATGTTAATGGCATCATGCACATGTTGTCTTAAAGGAAGAAGTGATTGTTTTAAATGGCTTTGAATTAAAAATTAATCTTCCTACTAAAAGTAAGGTTCCACATTTCAGCGTTGTAGATCAAGAAATATTTTATGACATATAAAGTGTAGGTTTATTTAAGTGAGCAGCCATAGTTGCTCTGCTTAGAGCCACTAATTTATGCTCTCAGTTTGTTAAGATTAATTAAATTCTGTAACAGAATATCTGAAAAACTTTCTGTGTGAGATCATCACCATTCTATTTACTATTTACCACACATTTCCTTTAAAAAATTATATCCTTAATTATAAAGCATTTGTTAAATTATTGTATTTCCTGTCTTGCAGTAATTAAAAATAGTTAAAGTAAAATTTTAGTTATGAAATAGCTAAAATATGTCATATGTTGTGTTCATATAGATTTTAGTTATCGTGTAAAGTATGTTACTGTTTATCACTGAAGTCTGTGGTGTTGAATAGTACTCACGACTACCGTAATCATATTACGTATTTTAATGATTTTTTTTTCTCTAGCATACATTTATTAAGAATGCTAAGCCAGTTTCAATTTTAAGGGACCTGATAACTGAAGCTATGGAGATAAAGGCAAAGCGACATGAGGAACAGCAGAGAGAACTGGAAGAGGAGGAAGAAAATTCGGTGGGTACCTGTTTTCCTGTAACTATCTGTACTTTACAGATTAGTTGCTGTTTTTCCTCTACTTCCTGTAGTTGTGTTCAAATACTTTTCTTTACCAGTTTTCTGTGTGGTTTTAAGCCTACAAATTCTGAGTATTCCACTCTTAATTATAAGTAATGCTTCTGCTGTGAGTAATGCCATATGAGCCAGCTTTCAGCACTATTCCATTAGATGTCCAAGTAAAAAGGTTTTTTTAGGGAGTGAGAAAAGAAACCATGGCAAACTTCAACTGTTCAAGCTAACATTAAAAACACCCCAAAAACTCTTAAGGTTCCACTTTCACAGGTGGACTAAACAAGTGGTTTAGTTTTTAGTTCAGGGCACATGTGGTTTTTTTTCTTTGTTTGTGTGTTCTTTTGGGGTTTTGGGGGTTGTTTTTGTTTGTTTTGGGTTTTTGTTTGTTTTTTTATCAAGTCTAATGCACAGACTAGTTAGTCACAACACACAGTAAGTAGCAAGTGCAATGTAGTTTGAATCAAATTGCGCCTGTGGTGTGAAAATGGTGAGAGAATTTCATTCTTCAGATGATGTTGTCAGCATATGTTTGAGGAGAGAAGCAGGTCATGTGATATGTAGGTTGCATTTAGAATTGTTTGGCAATGTTAGGAATAAGTCCATGTTCCTGGCATTATTACTCTTCCTACATGGTTTATTTCAGGGCAGCCTTGTGCAATGCAGCAGTATGTGCTTCAAAGAAGTGTATTACCACACATACAACGAGAACCAAGGTCATTCAGGAAATAGCACACAGAGAAGATGGAGACTGGAATGTTAGTAGAAAACTTACAGCTTTGAGCAAACAGAAAAGAGCAGTGCAGTAATGCAGTTTGCCCTATAGCAAATTGTAGAATCCTTTTTACAGAGTGGTATGTGATGATCTATATATAGAAATACTTTTCGAGCAGATTCTGTGGAGTGTTTTATATCTCCAGCAGTCAGTGCGGTCTTTTGTTTGCTGCATGTTTCTCTCTAAAAGTTTCGTTTGCTCTTAAAAATAAGAGCAGTTGTAGTATATGGAAATACTTAGTTTTAATACAAAAGGTGAGGGTACAAGTGAATGAAACGAAGAATACTAATGATGAGGTGAGGAGGAGGGATTTCCTAGTTGACAAATACAGTTTGTCAAAACTCCATGTTTGGGAGTGACCTGTGAATAGCTTTTGTGTGTCACAATGCAGAACAAATCTTGTTTTGGACTGGTTTTAGTAATTGTTTGGTTGTAATACAGACTTCCTGTGTCTTGCAACTGAGTTACAATGCAGTACACTGTTGTAAGAAATTGCAGATTCAATTGAGAGATGACACCAGAATCTTGTCCAGCTGCTGTCACTGAAGGTTCTGATCAGCTAAATGTGCAAAAGCAGCCAAACTAGGAAACAGCAGCATAAACTTGTACCCGTACCCATGGGGGGCCTACAAGAGTGGTAGGCCAGGTTGGATGGGGCTTTGAGCAGCCTGGTCTAGTGGAATATGTCCCTGCCCATGGCAGGGGGCTTGGAACTACATGATCTTTAAGATCCCTTCCAATCCAAACCATTCTATGATTTCTTGAAACTGTTACCATTTTCTTTTTAACCAGAGAAGTTTTCTGTAGCGTGTTTCTTGAATGCACATTGATCATGTACTGCATAGTAGAAAACTCCTGAGCAACATTTAGGTGGAGTGAAGCCTGAAGTAACTGGAATCTGATCTCAGTTTGTAATTTTAGAAAAACAAAACATCAATTCCCTCAGGGCCTCCCCTTCAATTTGAAATAATACATGATTTGAAAATAAGTACGAAGATTTTGTCTTTCATTTAATTTGGAACTTGTTTGTGGAACTGACAGAAAAAGAGCAAACCAGTTCTTTCTGTACTTTTGAGTGTTTATTCTTTCCTTTCTGGAAAGGTAAGGCAGATAATATGAGTGCCAGCTTGGTATATTTGGTGTACAGTTTGGTAGTGGATCAAGTCAGCAGTCCAGCATTCAAGTATAAAGATAAATAACCACTGCACATTCGTCCTTTTTATGAATCAGTTTCACAGAACCCTGAAGAAATACAGGGCTGCTTGTGTGTAGTTTGCATGACTACACAATCATGCAGTTCAAACGATAATACGGGTTTTGATAAGCCTGTAGTGATGGCAGCAGTCCTAGAAAGAGCTAATGACAGTCCCTAAGTTACCTTGTGTAGTAGTATTTTCAGATTGTATATGGAATTGGAGTCACTGTTCAGTTGGAAAGAATTAGCCACCCAGCACATAAATTTTGGAAAATAACACCTCAAAAATGGATTCTTTTCCCACTGATATCTCTGTGAAGTCCTCGCCATAGAATTGCAAAGGCAGACTCAAACTTGGAGAAATGCATATTTAACACCTAAAAGCAAGAGCAAATATTGATGGTAGTGTTAAGTAGAGTCTGTTAAAGATCTCTCATCAGCAGTGAATTGAGTTAATATACTATTGAAAAAAAATGGCTTCAGCTAACCTGTCAGGGGCTTGAATTTATTGAATTTATTGATCTAACCCCCCGAAGAATTTCCTATGGTAAAGCGTGAACAGTTCTGCTCATTGCTCACTGGTACATGATTTGGGACCCGTTAAAAAGAAAGGTATAAAATGTTATAACTATGAAGTTTCTTACGTTAGGAAACCAGATTTAACCTTAACAGTTACATTTGAATAAGATTTTTTAGCTTTAATTACTTCCTAAAGCCATATGTTGTATAGTAATGGGCACTCAAGTTTAAAGTAACTTGCGTAACTCCAAGAGGAGTTGGATGGTTTTGGAGAATTAATCAGATGCAAAAATTTCACAATTATATACTTAATTTTCAGGGTTGATTCAGGTTATTTTCTTTCAAGTGAGGAAGAGTCACATCCCCAAAACTGATTCTTATTTTTCTTTTTTACCACTGTCTGTGAACATTTTATAGCATGTGAAGTTGCCAATTGTAAGTATTTTTTGCTGTTCAAAACTTCATACTGTATGGCTGTAAATAAATGGACAGGTTGAATACAGTCTTCATGTCTGCATCCTTCCAGAGAGATACAATATCATTACAAATAGTGTACTCAGAATTGATTTTATGCTTGCTATGAGAGCTGCTCGTGTGATGAGAATGCCTTCTGACAAACTGACATGTTTTGATAACTGCTGAGGTAGTTGTACAGATTTTTTTAATTAAGCAAGAATTGCAATTGGTGTGTTCTACAGAAGGTTAATCCCAATATCAAAGTTTAAATGTTAGTTTAGGCATTACTAAACATGACCAATCTCTTCTCTCCTGCATTTTTTGAAGTGTGATGTGAGTTGGATGCTGAGGCTGGGCAGCTGTATTATGGGAATGTAAAGTAACTCGTTGCCTGGCAGCTCACAGAAAACATATCTAAATATTTGTTTCTGTGGATCTTTAAAGGAATGAGCTAACAAGCAGCTCTCTGTATATTTTCTTTTACATTTTAATGTCTCTATTATGTGAGAAATGCTTAATTCTTTTAGAATATTAAAACAAGGACTTACTACTTTAGACTCCTTTGTTTTTTCTTGGACACTAAGTGGTTGACAACTATCAACACCAAGCCAGCCATTGATAATCACTTGTTCCTATATGTAGGATTATTTATTCATTCATACAAAAGTTTATTTGGTTAATCCAATATTAATTATGAAAAGTTGGCATCTGTATTTTGAGACCTTAAGAAATAATTACTGTAATTATTCCTTTATATTTTTACAATATTTATGTAGCTGTATTAAAGGAATCAGGAGTTATTCCATATCTTAAAGCTTATACACCATGCCGTATTTTTTGAAGGTTTTTATATTTGCTTTCATGCTTCCTTCATGTGTTTGAATGTGTATACGATATAGCTGTGTATCTGTCTGTATATATGTGTAACTTTGCATGGCAGTGTTAAAACTCTGGGTTTGTAGCATTTTTCCTTTAAGCCAAAGAACACTTGACATATGTGTTAATTAAATTTGATTGTAGTCCTTTAAGTGTCCTGAAGTTAGAAATATGTAAAGATGGCTTTGTTGAGTAAAATAAAGCATATTATTAAAATCCATGGCAGTGTAGAGCGAGAAACCTGTTATAGGAAGAGTAGACAGAGAGAGGTAGGAATCCATGGCAAGTCATTGATACTCAGTGTATCAGTTAGATGGAGGTATAAAAAAAGCTTAAGTCCTGTTTTGTGTCATATGTCTATTGAATTTGATGGGATTTGACTGTGGGCTGAAAGTTAAGTTTTTACCTGTTTTACTGATGTGTCTAAGCTTTGTGTGCTCAGTATTAACCATATGCTCAGGTTGGAGTTTGGCTTTGTATGTGTCAGGAGCTTTACAAAATCCTTGTGCTTGACCAAATTATATTATGTGTTTATGTAGCTACTACAGTGCTTTAAAAAAAGATAGCTGTGACTACAGCCACGTTTTTCAAAGGTGATGATGAGGTGTTAATAGTAAATGAAATTATTTTACAGGATACTAAATTTTGCCAGTGTGTAAATCTTCCTTTAATGCCTTGCAGCCGAGTTGGCCGTCTTTGCTGCCCTCTAGTGTTCTTTTTACATGCCAAACTTAGGGTGAGAGATTTTAAAGGCAAATTACTGCCGTATTTCCTTCTCTTGTTTAGTTTTTTCTTTATCCATCTTTATCCCTTTTTTCCTATCAATGTTCAAAATACAACAGAAAAATCCAATAATCTTTATCACCTTGGCTCATTCACTTTTATCATGATGTAGACTTGGGTATGATGTGCAAGGCCAGTTTCTCTGAGAAAACTTCTTGTGTGATGATGAGATCTTTCATTTTACAAACATATTGTGAAGTCTTGAGTGTGGTTTCTGCTGAAGTCTTTCTGAATTTTATATTCTGATAATCAAATCTCTATGACTGCATTTTTGTGCTTCAAAGGTTGGTTTTGTTAATTATAACATTTTTGGTAAATAGGAATATCCAGAGGGTTAGTCCTAGAGAGTTGCAGGATACTAAGAGTGTTTTACTTGTGCTTTACATTATGATATTGTTCAGAGTTTCTGTAGTTTCTTGTAATTTTTGTAGCATTTCAAGAGATTTTAGAGTTCTTGCTCATGTGCGCCTTCTGTTGCTGTATAGTGGTGTAATGTAAACCCTCCCAAATACAAGCTTGGTGCTTCTTACTTGTACACAGGAGAACAACAGGCAGTTTAATTCCAGAGTTAGCTGTTTTTATTGTTTGATTCTTGGATCTGTTTTCATAAACAGTGTGAGAACATGACATTTCATCTCTTTTACCTTATTTTTTTTTCCTGGTTAAAATTGAGATTGTTTGTTTTTATTTAATCAGGGAGTTTACCTTTCTTTAACAACAGATCAGAAGTTCTACTTCAATATTTATGAACTGTAAAGCATGAGTCAGAATTTGTATGAAGGAATCACTTTCATCTCTCATATAAATATGCACTTCCATAAATTGGATCCACTGGATATTTTTATAAAGTTACTTTTTCAGATCCAGTATAATCTATTGCCATATTAGCTAAATGTCATATTTGTGAGAAATACTGGAAGGACATTTATGGGAAAACTCTGTGCTAACCCACAAAATTAATTATTCTGGAACATGCCCAGGACACAAAAAAGTTTTATATTGTTCTGTTTCGGTACATCGTTCCTGAACTAGGGAAAACACCGTTCATCAAAATTGTTGTGTTCTTCCCTTCTTGGAACAACTGTTCTGTTAGTACTGAGGAAGCCTTTTGTGATCCTTAGTCTTCTAGGTACTAAGAGATAACTGTTCTCTATGCTGAGAGACAAGAGTAAGGTGAAGGCTTTTTGACGCTCTTAGACTGGAAAATAAATGCTATTCTTTGGAACAAGTCCCGATACTTGATTTGACTGAAGAAATAAAAGGTCAATTTTTTTAAATGAAGCAGAAGTTATGAAAATGGTCACTTAGGACTGCATTTCATACTTGTTCATATTGTTAGCCATTGCTTTTTCCCCACTAACTTCTAAATAAAACTTCTGAGCTTCAGGAAAATGTTTGCTTAATTTCTGATTTCAGTTTAGATACGTTTAGGACCATATGCACTGCAAATGGATATTAATTTTAGCCAAGCAAATCTGCAAATCAAGTGCCACTATGCCTTAAACTCAGAGATTTGCCTACCTGTATGTTAGAGATGCCGCATTTGTAGTGCTTAATAGGAGAAACAACAGTATGTAGTGAGTCAGTTTTGCACTGTATTGCACTACTGAAAGAAGCACTTGGAAACAGTAGCTTAACTGTTCCGGCACTTTTAAAATGCAACCCAAAACCACTTTATTTTCTGAGTACCCTTTTTAGATGGGGAAAAATATAATTCACAGAAAACACGGGTTAACAAGAACATTTGGTGCAGGGAAGTAAAGAAAATTAAAGTTACCACCAGGAGGAGCAGTACCAAAATATTCTCATTTTTTTAACTGGTACAGTTGGCAAGTGCTGCAGCTGTAAGCTAACTGTATCTTTGGGGATATCGTAATTTTTTTAAGGATAGGGTACTAAATAGAATGCAACTAAAAAAAACCCAGAAAGAATGCAAATTAAGAACTTCAAGATTTTAACAAATTATAGTCTGGAAAATTATGAGTCTTTTGACGTTTGGAATTTTAGTCACAGATGTAGGTCTGTATCCTGGTTTCATTATGGTATGCTGTTAACCAGATTTTCTGAATCAAAATTAAATCTATTTTTGTGTCTTCTAGTTGAGATGTAATAGAATAAATTTCAGGAGCTGGTGTGTTGGTATTACTGCTCACTACAATTCACTGTGTCTGCTTAGTTCAACCCTTAGTGAAACAGGTCGTCTGGCAATGGAGCTGCTTGTGTTTATGTGCCTATACGAGAGGCAAGTTGTCTGCCGTGTCAGGGAATAAGGAGAAAGGAAAAGAAGGAGTTCAGTGAGAAATAGAAAGTACCAGACCTTGCAGGCATTTGAGTCTTGGGTTTAATTTTTCTGTCTCCCCCAGCCCATGCCCTTATAAATCTCTTCATAGTTAAAAATTTAAAGTCTATAAAGCAACACAAAGATTTAGGAAAAAGGGGAATTTTTCTTTTCCAACATAAACAATTTTATAAATCTATGTTGCAACAAACATGTTGTTTGTAATGGACAAATTAAAAAACCCCACAGTGTTATCCAATAGTCTTTCAAGCTATGCAGCGAAAATATTTTACTAATCAGGGATAGAGTTCATTTGAAAAGGAACTCAAAGTTTTGACACAATAGAGGAAATGCATGCATATATGGTCATAAAACTGGTGAAAGTAACATTTGTATTTAAAATTTAACCATTTGACATAGAATAATTTTGACATAGAGTAACAGTGATGTGTGTTATTTCTTACATGTAATCAACAAAGAATGTCTAAATTTTTTTTTTCCTTGAATAGTAGATGTTACTCATATAGCAATAGTCACAGTCCATCACGTTACTCCTGAAATGCTGTGATGTGTGTATAAGCTAAATCTGATTTTGGAAAGCAGTGGGATTTTCCATTAGTGCTTTCAAAACACATGAATTTTATGTATCATTAACTGGCTTGTCATTAGTTTTGTTTCACGTGCCTGGCCCATTACTGTTACCAATTCAAGATGCTACCATGTATCTTCATGGTATTATCTACCCACCCACTTAGTGGGTAAGTATGTGCTGGATGGGTATTTTTATACATAGTATTAATAAGTTATTTACTCACTCTTGTAATAGAGGTTTTAAAAGGGAACTGAATACTTGAAGTAAGTCAAGTTGATTTTCTGTTTCTGAGGAGGACTTCAGAAACTCAGAGGATTGTTTAATTGCTAAATTGAACAAGATCCTGTCATCTGGCCACTGTGTGTAATGTCAGATGCTGGGCATGATACTTAGTTAGGGGTGGTCAGCACAAATCCTTATGACACTCCCTTGTAAAACAACCAAATCGCTTTCTGTAAGTTGTGGTACTGATTTTTGGAACCCAGAGAAGTAAAATGGGTCATGAAAATCACAGAGATACTTAGAACTGGATACTGATGCAAAGTGGGTGTGTGGGCCACGTTATACTCACCCTGCCATGCATCTGTGAGGAAGAAGAAAGTTTTTATTTTTCCTTTATGTGGAACTTTTTTTTTGTAATTTCCTTTAAAGCTTTAAACCTCAAAGTCTAGCAGTACAACTAGGTCATGTAAAGATATAAAACTAATCAATAAGGATCTAAGTGATTGCATGTTAACTTCTTTATTTTAAATGATCTTCTGCATTCTGGCAAATGTTTCTCCGTAGGATGAAGATGAGTTGGACTCTCACACTATGGTAAAGACCAACTCAGAGAGCGCTGGTACTATGAGAGCCACAAGTACGATGAGTGAAGGCGCCCAGACAATGATTGAACACAACAGCACTATGTTAGAATCAGACCTGGGGACCATGGTAATAAATAGCGATGATGATGAAGAGGAAGATGGGACCATGAAACGTATGTTGTCAATTTGCTTTCTTCTAATAATGTCATATGTTTTCTCATGCTGCACAACAATATTGTATCATCAGTGGCTTTTAAGTGTAAAGTTCTGTGGTTAAAACAGGGGGAGAGGGGTATTTGTGTTTCTAAGCACTCTCTTTGGTTTGTGGAGAGAAAGGTGATTGTAGTGGGAGATTCAAAGCAGAAGCCTGGTTTTGCTGCTTTGCCCCTTTCTCTGGAGGCCTATCAAATTTGCCTTCTGTGAATTGTCCCTTTTACTGTTTGTGTCTTGCTTTTTGTGTCTGGTCCCCCATTTGGACCAGTTCCTTGGAGCTAAACTGAAGTGATGTGATTGAGATGCTGCTGTTTCAATGCCAGTGGTCCCGGGAACACATCGTGACTCTCCATGGGGTCAGCAATCAGTAATATATCTTGCTGCAAAATGGTTTTGTAAGTCATGATCAATTAGCAAATTTGTATTTTATAAGGGAGTTATTATTCAGACATTTGTTGGAATGTAATTTAATAATCCTTGATTTTTTAAGTCGATGATCAAAAGATTGTTGAAACCTAGGTAAAAAGTTCTAGTTGGCTTGGTGGCCTGTGAGGGAGTACGTAACAGAATAAAAAAATTATGAATGTTTTTATGTATAAAATTATAACTTGTACTGAAATATTCATAAATACTTATGTACTGATGTGGTCATTATTTGGCTGAGGACTACTGCAGATTGAGGCCCACTGAATTTAATAGAATTATTTGCTTGAATGGGCAGCATCAATAGATGAATCTAACTCAGGCTGTAGCTGCCTGAATTTATGAGGCACAATGTAATGTTTAACTCCAGGCTATTGTCGGGAGGGGTGGGGAGTTTTGTTTGTGTGTGTAATATAGAAAGCTAATGTCTCAAGAGTGAAAATCAGTGCCAAATCAAGAACTTTGTAGAATGTCTTATAGCAAACATAAAACTGCATTTGTAGATTTATGATTTATGATAGACACCTGATGTGATTTGTGCAAGATTAGTGGGAAGTGCAAAGCAGGATTTTATTTTGTTTTAGTTTACAGCAAGTTTGAAAGAAAAAGGGGTTTTGTTGGTTTTGTTTGTTTAGCTTTTATGTGGTTTTGTTTTGCTTTTTCTTTTGTTTTTCCTTAGTGTTCTCAGCAATAAGATAGCACACATACCTCTTGATTAATACTTAGTTTAAGTATGATGATTCACCTCATGAAAAGACTCAGTATGTGCTTTAGTTTGTTTTCATGCTGAAACAGAATATTTACCTGTTAGACCGTGTGCCTGATGGAGGGTTAATACAAGTGATCTCAAACCCATCCGTTTCAACAAGCTGAGGGAAAGATGAGTGATTAAAAAAAAAAAGGGAAAGATAGTACCAATAAATTTGGAGTAAAGTAATTCTTAGGGTGGAAGTATCATGAATTAAGGTTTAGTACAGTTTCTGTGGTGCTTGATAAATCACTTCAGGCTTCATAAGTAAGTTCTATATAAGTAGTGTGCCAAATTGCACTACACTATTCATGTAGAATTTATATATGCTGAGAGAAAATACCTGTCACTGTGCCAAACAGATCAAAAAAGTGTCATTAGTTTTGCACTGCAGTCTCTTATCTGTGTCCTATTTGTCTGCTATGTTGCTGGAGACATTGCTTTTAAACTGCACTGTTATTTTCAACTCTGAATTGATTCCAGTAATAATCTGTAGCTAGAAAGGGAATTACCTTTTTACACCTTGACATTTGGCCAGTATATTTCTTAATCCCATTCTCCTTTCTTGTCCAACAAGAATATATAATTTTTGGGACAGCGGGTTTTTTTCCCCTCCCTCCTCTCCTATAGGTGACTGTCTAGAGCCCCATAACTCCAGCAGAGCAAAGCCAGCAAACTGGAAGTAGCCTAATGGGAAGCGATGGTTTCATCATTCAGCTGTCAGGCAGCAGGTTTGGTTTCAGCACTTACTTGCTAGAATTTCTTCTATTTTGCATTAGGCACTCCTTATTTGCATTTTTTACATTAAAAGCTAGAAATAATTCAGGAACAGGACCTCCACATCTCTCAGCTAAAAATAAATATAAATCATGTCCACCGTAGCAGGTCCTTTGGTTCTGTGATTGTCGTGCTGTTGTCTGAAACAGGAGGAATAGCAAGAATCCTAAATAAGTGTTAGTAGGAAGGGACATAAAAGTCCTTACTGTCCCTGAGAGGCAGGCTTTGTGCTTCTTTGTACTCAACAAAGACTTTGGAGATTGTTTGCTGTTTCCAGTGTACCTTTATAGGCAAAGTAGGCACTTTCTAGATATTTGTGTGATTTGATTATAATAAATCAGAACAAGTAGCTTGAAAGTGCTCTTTGATACTTCTGAATAATAGAACATTGCAAGCAACAAGCTTGGAGAAATAAACTTAGTAAACTAGGGAAGAGGGATTTCATTTCCTTCCTAGAGACACAAAATATTTGTGACAAACTTTTTCTTTAATTGCTGTTGTGTTTAGTTTCATGTTTTGTTTCCTTCTGCCTTTTGTTTCCCTGCTCAAGGACAAAATAAGAAACAATAATATGTTTTTATTTATAAGTACCCATGCTTAGAGGCCTCTGGGAGCCATGACAGAAAATAACTGAAACCATATTTTTTTCACAAACGGGGAATTGTGCCCAGATAAAATTGGAATTTGGAACAAAAAGAGGCCTATCATCCTACCCCAACATACATTATACAGTCTACCAATAAAAAACATTTATGCCATCTTGCTCAGTATGCCCTGTGCATGCTCTGAACAGAGACTATGGTGTGTACCTGGAAGGAGGGAAGAAAATGCAGAACACGGGGAGACGGAAGGATAGAACTTAACTTTAGGAGGTTTAATGTGGAGTAGAAGAAAGAGTGTAAATGATGGAAGTATTACTTCTTTTTTTCAGTTGCCTGGGTTGTACTTGTAGAAGCCTTTTCATATGTCAGTGCAGAGACCAGTGTTCAGACCAGCTTTCCCACATTCCCTTTGTGGTTTTTTGGCAAGGCTTAGTGTTAGAGCTTTCTGGTGCACCAAGAGTACTTCCGATTGTTCTTTTCTCCTTTTCAGTAACATTTCCCCTGCTTGTCTTTTTTTCCCTGTTAAATTTATATTTGCCATCTGCTTTGGGCTGGAAAGCAAGTTGTCTCTTAGTGCCATTTGGATTTATTCTGGGTTTCTGACTGTTGCTTCAGATTCAGTGAAGCTTCTAGATAGTTCATGGCTGGTAATGAACGTGTTAAAAGATGAGGACAGTGAACTAGATGGGGTGGCATTTGACAGCTAGAGTGTAGAAAAGTGCTCAGTTTTTTGTTTTGTTACTTTTTGCCCTGTAAGATGTGAATGTTTTAGGTTTAATCAGCATAATTCTCAAACACGTTTTCCTTTTTATCAAACACAAGAATATAATCTTTGGGACAGCAGGTTTCTGTCCTCTCCCTCATGCTCCATAGGTGACTGTCTTGAGCCCCATACCTCCAGCAAAGCAAAGCCAGCAAACTGGAGGTAGTCTGATGAGAAGTGATGGTTTCATCATTCAGCTGTCAGGCAACAGGTTTGGTTCCAGCACTTATTTGTTGAACTTTCTTGTCTTATTATATAATGATATTTTTGATTACAGTGGGATAGGCACCATACTGTAGAACCTACATGTTGATAAGAAAAATTAATGAGTTGGTTTATTCATTATTTTTTAGTGATTTCAGCATCCAGTGTAAGGGATTATGTGATGCTGCAAGTCCGTCTCCTCTGTGATGTGGATGCTTAGATAGCTCTGGAGTAATGCTTCAGAACTCTTAGAAAGGCCTAAGTCCTACAGCTCTTTTTACAACTGAAAAGCAAAAGCTAGTGATATGTGTTTTATGACAACCTAGGACCTAAGTCCAGTAGGAATTCAGCAAGGAAATTTAATTATGGGCTGTTTTTAATGTAGCCTGGACATTGATGTTTCACTGATGTAGTTTTGGGGACCCCTGGTGGTCTAGTGGTTAGGATGGGGCACTCTCACTGCCGCGGCCTGGGTTCGATTCCCAGTCAGGGAACTCCCCCGGGCAGATGGAGCTCATCAGCCCTTAAGGGCATCCATCTAAGAGAAGGTCACTCTAAACAAACCTACATCCTGAGGACCTCACTGCCATTGTCCAAGCTCGCTTGGCCCCGGCAGATGAACCTTAGGATTAAAGGGTGGGCTCAGTTCAGCGCATGCTGTGTCTCACCTAAAAAATCCATTGCGCAGGCTCGAAAGGTAAAAAACCTTTCCCAAAATCTTCGTTCGCGAAGACTGGCCATACTTATACTTTGTTCAAGCATTTTTACTGTGCCCACAGTAAGATGGTTTGCTTGATACCATGTGGAGTGGTACTAGTGCTTTACTCCTCTATATGTATATAGAGAGAGATGATAGATGTTTACAAGCCTATTTCACTCCTCAAGCCCTCTCCTGTGACGGTAATAAAGTTGTTCATTTATACTGCTACTACTAGTAATATATTTTAAAAATGGGATTTTTTTTTTAAAAATGATGTTAGCAGTTCTGCTTTAAGAGCTGTTGCAAAATGCTAGTTTAACATGGATTTTCTTTGTTTTGCTGAAAGCAGAAATAAAGTATAACTCATCTGGAATGGACTAATGGTTTTATAATAGTAATGTCATTGAACATTTTTTTCTTTTCTCCGGAAGTTGGAAAAATAGAACAAAAGTTATTAAACCACTTTTACAAGTCTTATTCTCAAGAAGCAAAGCAATGTTTTGTGCCTGAAACTTTTCCCATGAAAAATTGTTTAAACTTGAGTTCACAGTCCTTCAAAAAGTCTCTGAAGGCTTCAGCTGGTTGAGTGTGGATTTTCTGTTTAAATGGCAGTTGCAGTTATTTCTGATAAATATGTATATTATAAAACAAACAAACAAAAGACTGAATGAAGCCTGAAATTGAATGAAGACTTGGGTGTATAAGTCACTGTGATATGAAAACTGTGAACTCAGTAACCACTT